CTAGGAATCAAGAATAACTTCATGGACAACGCAAGAGACAATCTGATCTAGTGATTCAGACACCAGGCTAGAAACTGGGAGAGCATGCATTCTAGTAAAGTAAGAGTAAGATTATAGTATAGTATAGTATAGTATAGTATAGTATAGTATAGTATAGTATAGTATAGTATAGTATAGTATAGTATAGTATAACCTTTATTATCATTGTACATCATATATACAATGAAATTTATTTATTATTTGTCAACAAGTACAAGGAAACAAGTAGGAAAAAAACATGAAAAAATGGTGCAAATAAATGCATAGAAATAAACATAAACACATAAAAAGAGTACATATAAATAGGACAGTAGGACAGGGACGGTAGGCACGCTGGTGTGCTTATGCATGCTCCCTTAGGAACCTCTTAAGAAATATGTAAGGTCCATGGTAAACAGCTTAAGGTCAAAGGTATGAGGGTTAGAGGAACTAACAACAGGATCAGGTAGGCGTTCCGCACATTTACTACTCTATTGCTAAAATAATTTTTCTTGCAATCAAGATTAGAACGGATTACATTTAGTTTGTATCTATGGATAGCCCTTGTGCTATTGCGGTTGGAGTAAAAGTAGTCATTAACTGGTAGGACCTTATGGCAGATTATCTTGTGCACTAAGCTCAGGTCGGAATGTAGACGGCATAGTTCAATGTTATCCTGGCCTAAAATTTCAAGCCTGGAGGTATACAGAATTTTATTATGAGCAAGGGAGTTAAGTGCTCTTCCTGTAAAATACCCCTGGACCTTCTCTGATGTTTTAATGTCCGGAATGTAGTGTGGGTTCCAGGCAGGTGAGCAGTATTCAAGGATCGGTCTGGCAAAGGTTTTGTATGCCCTAGTTAGCAGCACAGTGTTACCAGAGAGAAAGCTACATAAAATAAGGTTGACAACTCTGAATGCCTTTTTGGCAATGTTGTTACAGTGTGCTCTGGGACTTAGGTCTTTCAGAATGAGTACTCCTGGAGGGTGATGGATTATAAAATTGGTTTTAGCCTCACTGGTGTGATCCATGACAAAAAATGCAAACAACATAAATAGCATAAAGAATTATAATGTATTACAATAAAAGAAGATAATTACAACAAACTACTACGACAGATACAAAAAGATTTGGACAATTGGACTAAACTACAGATATCACTAATTGGCAGAATCTCAACAATCAAAATGAATATACTACCCAAATTACTCTCTATTTTTCAAACAATACCGTTTAAATTAGAGAAAACAATTTTTGAACAACTAAATAAAATGGTATCCAAATTTATTTGGTCATGGGGAAAAACCTATATTAAATACAAACTTCTACAAGATAGTAGAAACAGAGGCGGCTTTGGATTCCCAGATTGGGAGTTTTATTACCAGGCGGCAGCCCTAACATGGCTAAAAGATTGGATCCAATTAAAAAATAAAAGAATCCTTATGGTAGAAGGACACAATCTCCAACTAGGCTGGCACGGTTTCCTCTGGGAGGGAAAGACTAAATCCCATTCCTACTTTCAGAGAAATATAGTAAGGGATGCTCTGTTTAGGGTCTGGGGAAAAATAAAAAAAACCACTACCTGAAAATCCCAAGCTGGTTATCAGCCATGGAGGCAATGACATATCCATATACTATAGACCTTAGTAAAATGGGAAGATATGCAGACCTCTTAGATGAAAAAGGAGAACTAAAATCAGGTACAAGATCTGAAAGCACAGGGAATAAATATGGAATGGTGGCCCTACCTACAAATTAAAACAAGATTTAAAAAAGATCGGGAACAATACGGAATATACGAGCCACAAATGGAATTAGATAAAATATTACTAGGAACGGGAGGAAAAATGATCACTAGATTATATAATTTTCTTTTAAAATATAAAATGGAGGAAGAGACGGTAAAGGAGACAATGATTAGCTGGGGAAGAAATTTTGGCCATAATATAGAGTTAGAAAAATGGGATAAATTGTGGGAAAGAAATTATAAATTTACGACGGCAGTAGCTTACAAAGAAAATCTCTATANGTGGTGACAAACCCTGAGGATTTATTCAAATATCTTTTTGTATCCTATTATGATGTTTCCTCATGTGAGTTTGTGGATACAGAGAGAGCTGTCGTGACGTGGAAAACAGCCAAGAACCACCCCACCAAATCCACATGCACTGATGTATTCATTGCCAGCTTTACAACAGCTTATGCACAACTGGAATTATACAGGCTACTGGAGGGGCTGGGCGATAGGTGTCTGTACCATGACACCAATTCAGTCATCTTTGTAAGTAGAGAGGGGGCGTGGACACCCCCCTTTGGGTGATTATTTAGGACAACTGACAAGTGAAATTCCACCAAACACTATGATAACAGAGTTTGTTGCAGCCGGCCCCAAAACGTATGCTTATCCTTTGTCCAAGGTGAAGCAGTGGTAAAGGTGAAGATAATCACACTAAATTGTGGTAATAGCAGTAAAGTTAATTTTGACAGCTTGAAAGATTTGGTAGATGATTATTGTTTGTCTGATGCAGAGAGAAAAAAAGAGATCAGGGTAGAACAGTTGGGGATTGTCAGGGTTAAGAAACAGTGGACCCTAGAAATGCGGGTCCTCCGAAAAACTGTAAAAGTAGTCTATAATAAAAGGTTATTAAAGAGTGAGGATTACTGTATGCTGCCTTATGGTTATTAAGGATTATGGAAAATATTGCACAATTTGTACACCCTTTCTCCTGTATTGTAAGTGGACTGTTCAATTCTGGCAAATCTTTTTTTATCAAACAAATGTTACAACATGGCGATGTGGCATTGTCTCAAAGACCTCAAAATATTGTATGGTTTTATAGCTGTTGGCAACCTCTGTACAAAGAACTGCTTAATAAATTCCCTTACATTAAGTTTATGGAAGGTCTTTCATCTTCTTTTGAAAATGATGATTTGTTTCTGCCAAATCATGAGTCTCTTTGAGAGTGGGCGGCATACAAATTAATTAAATAATAATAATTAAATAAAAATCACTCTAGCCATGATAGATGATCTCATGGCATCTGTCGGTGACAGTGACCAAATAGAGAAGGCTTTTACTACAAAACCTGTTTTTTCAAGGTAAGAAAATGAGGACAATAGCTCTGAATTCCAAATATTTGGTTTTATTCGTGATCAAATGCAAATCGATCCCACTAACACAAAGTATTTTTTAGAAGTATTCCAAGATGCCACTCACAAACCACACGGGTACCTATTAGTAGATTTGTCAGCCACCACTCCAGAATCCTATAGGCTAAGAACGGGACTCTTCCCCTGATTGGCCTACTGTTTACACAATGAAAAAGAAGAGTAAAAAGTTGTAGCCCGGTTACCTTAGCACTAGTTCATTGAAGATGTCAGAGAGGTTACGTAAAAATTGGGGGCTTTTAAAAATCTTAGTAAAGTCCGGACCAAGACAGAGAAAAGCCATTTTATGCAATGCTAATAATGACCTGGTGGGGTCAATAGCAGAAATAGCACTGAACAC